CAGCAGAGAAATGCTGCTGACTCCAAGGTAGACTACTACAGCTGTGTAACAGGGGTGGGAGGCTACTCTACAGTTAACAGAGTACAGATGGAGGAGCCCAAGAAGGTAAATCTCATTTAGATCTTAAACCACATAGGAGTTTGAAGAAGGCAGGGAGGACTGGTTCAGGGTTAACAACCTGACTCCTCTTAAAAGTGCCCTGCAACAACATGTGAACATGAGGTCAGGACTGATCTAGAAGGGAGTATATTCTCCTTTTGATAGGGCCCAGCCCTAGCTAGCTGGAAACCCAAGGTAAATTGGGTTTTCCTAGGCCCACAAAGGAACCTAGCTATACTCCTACCTGTTGAATTTCCTCTATCTCCACACAGAGAGGCTGTACAGGGATCCAATTTGCATGACCCTTGACACTGGCTTTCACTTCATCCAGAAACTCCGTTGGCAGCCTGCAAAAACAGTCAAATATCCATCCTCTTCTGCACTACACTTATGTTTAAGGCCTAAATATACAACCTAAGCTCAGTACCTAACAAACAGGAACTGCCAGGCTGCCTCAGGCCAGCTTGCCTACTGTCCCCTCTCCAGAAGTGTCTGGTCCTAGATAGTTTAGAGCAGTGAGGGCCAACCTTTTCTGATAGGTGTGCCACAAATTAAGCCCCGTGCCCTCCCTGAATGTCACTCCAGTCTGCTTCCCCTGCCCAATCCCACAGCTATTTCTACTCCCTGCCCTGTGCTCCCTGCCAGATCTGCTGTTCTGTTTTGTTCCCTGCCCCATTTGCTGCTGTCCTGCTTGCCCTCTCCCCAAGTTGTTGCATGCCACACAGGGAGGATGCCTATGTCAAACATAGCATGTGTGCTGTAAATTCCCCCATCCTCTCCCCCCAAGTTTGAAAGGTGCAGGAAACCTCATAGCAGGACAGTCTGCCTTTTAAAAGAGCCTCATCTCTGATAAGTAGGGCTTAAGATGAGATTAATGCCTGAAGCAGGAGATAGCCTCTCTCTTCCCAAACCCTTTTGGCATTCACTAGTTAACTTGGGCAGACAGGTGGTTAGGAGGGTCACTCTGAAGTCAGACAGAAGGTAGGGCAGAGGGGCACCTTATAGATGCACACACAGTTAGTATCTGACAAAGTAAACTGCTGTTTATGATAGCTGATGCCTCTCCAAATTAGTCTTTAAAAGGTACCACTCTGCCCTGCCTTCTGTCAGGAAATACTTGTTACCCACATAAATATCTAGTCCCTCTTTGAATGTTACTAAACCCTGGGTCTCAGCACCACCTCCTGGCATGGAGTCCCACCACGGGACCCAAATGCAGAGAGATTTATAACTGGATCTTAGTTTTATAAACATAATCATCTCCCCGCCCCCCCTTCCCAACCCTGCCTTTCCTGAGGGTGAAGACACACATAATTATACAGATATCAAATTATATTGGCAGTCTCCTGCAGTTATAAGAGTATAGCAAAACTGCTGTAGCTATCCCTGTTTCATTCGGGCCTTCATTACTTTGAGTCTCTTACTAATATCCCCTTCCTCACCACCCCCCAAACTATTGATATATTGTTTTTAAAGGAACATTTTTAGTGTCTGAGATCAAATTAGCCAAATCAGGTCCAAATCCATTTGAATCATTCAAAAACCATACATGGCCCAGCTACTGGCAAGTATCCTCCACCCCCGCCTGGGGCTTCAGATGCCTGCTAAAGGATTTGGAATTATTCTATGTGGTAGGAGCATTCCCAGCAGGTCAAGGGAAGTAATTATTTATATTATTATTTCATAGACATCAGGGCTGGAAGGGACCTCGGAAGATCATCGAGTCCAGCCCCCCGCCCAAAGGGCAGGAAGTCAGCTGGGGTCATAGGATCCCAGCAAGATAAGCATCCAGTTTCATCTTGAAGGTGTTCAATGAAGGCACTTGAACCACCTCCGGTGGGAGGCTGTTCCAGACCTTGGGGGCTCGGACAGTAAAGAAATTCTTCCTTAGGTCCAGCCTGAAATGATCTTGAAGTAGTTTGTGACCATTCAACCTCGTCATCCCTTGGGGCGCTCTGGTGAACAAACGTTCCCCCAGATGCTGGTGGTCACCCCTGATAAACTTGTAGTTGGCCATCAGATCACCCCTGAGCCTGCGCTTTTTCAGGCTAAAGAGCCCCAGGGCTCTCAGCCTGTCATCGTAGGGTCTGCTTCCCTGACCTCTGATCATGCGCGTGGCTCTTCTCTGGACTCTCTCAAGCTTCTCCACATCCTTTTTGAATTGTGGAGCCCAAAACTGGACACAGTACTCCAGCTGCGGCCTCACTAAGGCCGAGTACAGGGGGAGAATGACGTCCCGGAATTTGCTTGAGAAGCATCTATGGATGCAAGCCAGTGTTTTGGTTGCTTTACTAGCCGCCGCATCGCATTGCAGGCTCATGTTCATCTTGTGGTCAATGATGACCCCCAAGTCTCTTTCTTCCATAGTGCTAACCAACATAGCACTGCCGAGCCTATTATATTATTATATCACTGGTGAGACCACATCTGGAGTACTGTATCCAGTTTTGGGTCCCCCACTATAGAAAAGATGTGAAAAAGTTGGAGAGAGTCCAGCAGAAGGCAACAAAAATGGTTTGGGGGCTGGGGCACATGACTTCTGAGGAGAGGCCAAGGAAACTGGATTTACTTAGTGTGCAGAAGAAAAACTGAGGGGGATTTGATAGCAGGCTTTAACTACCTGAAGGTTGATTCCAAAGAGGATGGAGCTAGAATGTTCTCAGTGGTGACAGATAACAAAATAAGGAGCAATGGTCTCAAGCTGCAGCAAGGGAGGTTTAGATTGGATATTAGGAAAAACTCTCATTAGGAGGGTAGTAAAGCACTGGAACAGGTTACCCAGAGGGGTGATGGAATCTCCATCCTTGGAGGTTAAGGTCCGGCTTGACAAAGTCCTGGCTGGGATGATCTAGTTGGGGATGGTCCTGCTTTGAGCAGGGGGTTGGACTAGATGTGACCTCCTGAAGTCCCTTCCAACCCTCATTTTCTATGGTTCTATGACCATCTGTCCTCCAAGCTGTAGAACTTCACTCCCTGTGTTTAGCACTGTAACTTGGTTTGACCCCAAAGGCTTTGCCCCAGAAAAGCATCTGGTCTTGATCTAAAGGTACTGAAAAGTGGAGAATCCTCCATGTCCCTTGGGAGCTTGTCTCCCTTGCCAAGAAAAGCATACATGTCCTTTTCTCATTTGAATTAGCCTGGTTTTAATTACTGGTCACTGGAGCCGATTTTACCTTTCTCCATTAGGTTTGTGAGCTATTTTGTACCCTGGAATTT